CTCTGTCACACAGTGGCCAAAAATACCAGGTGCCATCAGGAGGTCCACCAGTGGGGACAGGACATTAGAAGCCCTCCCACTGTTGACCCCCCCCCCAAGCACCAAGAAGACAGAGCATCACTTGCCCCAGAGCCCCTATCTATACCTTGTGGCTAATAGCCACTGATGGACCTCTGCTCCATATGCTTATCTAATTCCCTTTTGAAGCTGTCCATGCTTGTAGCCGCCACCACTTCCTGTGGCAGTGAATTCCATGTGTTAATCACTCTTTGGGTGAAGAAGGACTTTCTTTTATCCATTCTAACCTGACCGCTCAGCAATTTCATTGAGTGCCCACGAGTTCTTGTATTGTGAGAAAGGGAGAAAAGTACCTCTTTCTCTACCTGCTCTATCCCATGCATAATCTTATAAACCTCAATCATGTCACCCCTCAGTCGTCATTTCTCCAAGCTAAAGAGCCCTAAGCGCTTTAACCTTTCCTCATAGGGAAAGTGTTCCAACCCTTTTATCATTCGAGTTGCCCTTTTCTGCACTTTTTCCAAAGCTATAATATCCTTTTTAAGGTGTGGTGACCAGAACTGCACACAGTATTCCAAATGAGGTTGCACCATTGATTTATATAGGGGTATTATGATACTGGTTGATCTGTTTTCAATACCCTTCCTAATAATCCCCAGCATAGCATTGGTCTTTTTTATTGCAGTCACACACTGTCTCGACATTTTCAGTGAGTTATCTACTACAACTCCAAGATCTCTCTCTTGATCAGTCTCTGCCAGTTCAGACCCCATCAATGTGTATTTATATTTAGGATTTTTGGCTCCAATGTGCATCACCTTGCACTTGGCCACACTGAACGCCCACTTGCCCATCCTTGACAGATCCCTTTGGAGTGCCTCACAATCCTCCCTGGTTTTCACCACCCTGAACAACTTCGTATCATCCGCAAATTTAGCCACTTCACTGCTTACTCCCAACTCCAAATCATTAATGAACAAGTTAAAAAGCAATGGACCAAGCACTGATCCCTGCGGTACCCCATTGCTTACCACCCTCCACTGAGAAAATTGCCCATTTATACTCACTCTCTGTTTTCTATCAAAAGCTTTCTGGAAGCAATAGCAAGGCTGGAAAGGGAGCCGGGAGCCGGGGGGGGGGGTGTTGAAAAAGACAAAACGGGTCACATGTTAAGGTAGGCCCGACCTGGATAGCCCGGGTTAGTCCGATCTCATTAGATCTCAGAAGCTAAGCAGGGTCAGTCCCGGTCAGAATTTGGATGGGAAACCACCAAGATATACCAGGGCCATGACACGGAGGCAGGAAATGGCAAACCAGCTCTGTCTTGCCTTGAAAACCCTACAGGGTCACGATAAATCAGCTGTGACTCGACTGCGCTTTCCACCATCTCTGACTCGCGAAAGCTTATAGCCTGGAAATCTTATTGGTTCTTAAGGTGCTACTGGATTCAAATCCCGTTCTTCTTCTGCAGACCGATATGACCACCCACCTAAAACTAAGGTTGCCCAGAATGCCTTCCTTTCCCCCCAGAAGAACAATTCCCTGGAATGGTGAGGTGCAGGGGTCTTTTCGTAGAAAAAGAGCTGCAGGAGCACATTAGCATATGGTATGCTAATGAGCTACTAGGCTATTAGCATAATACCTCATTAGCATATGCAACGCCCCCTGACATCACCGGAAGTTATGTCAGAAGGGGAAGCAAAGGGGGGGCATCTTCAAAAAC